GATATGGCACCATCAGATTACCATCTTTTTTGTTTGCTGCAACACCATCTTAATGGGAAAACGTATTCCAATGTGGAAGTGTTAAATAGGACATCAACGTGTTTTTTGCTTCAAAGCCATGTGATTTCTTTAATCAGGACATTAACAACCTGATTGTAAAGTGGAAAAGCATCATCAATAAGAATGGAGAAAGATGGAAAAGCATCATCGATAACAATGGAGACTATTTCATTCAATAAATGTTTTGTTTTGATATATAAGATGTTCAGGTTTTTTCATCTAAAAAAAGCAATATTAATTTCTTGACGACCAAATATTAATCGACTGTATACATCCTGCCAGATGTTGTCAGCCAGAATTAGCATTGTTGATGCCACTGTTCCACCTCTTTGATAGTTAGATGACCTTGAAATAAATTTAGGACAGTTGTTGGCACCCTGAGAATTCATATGCCTACTGTTATCATCAAAGGAGCTCCTGAGGCATTGTGAGAAGAACAAGGTTTCTGCTTTTTTTTTTCTTGAGTTCCAGAAACACCTTCCTTGGGCATATAGTCTTATTATCTCTATGCATGTGCATGAGAATTCCAGCTTTCTTTGATACTGTGGTGAGACATCCTTTTAAAGACACCTGTAGATTGTGGAAGTCCTGTCAAGAGTGTAGGGTGTTTTTACGATTTTGGTAGTTGCCAAGCACATTGGAAGTCTGGACACTGTCTCTGTGTTACAGTTACCAGTGCTCACTGCAGCTTGTACTTGCTGAATCCAAGACCAGGAAAAGCTCCTTTACTTGCATTGCCCCATATAGCATAGACCAAGTACTAAGGGTTGCTGGTGAGTTGCCAAAGTTATTATACTACACATTAAGTAGAAAACCTTATTCCATCATCAGTCTGGGTGAAAGTCACATATAATAGTAGGTTCAAAGGATTAAAACAAGAACAGAATCATGGCTTTCTAAAGTAATAGTCAGGATTAAAAAGTCCACATTAACTAAACTATTGTTAGGTCAGAAGTTTAGTGAGTTACATAGGATGAAATTTTGCAGTCAGTCAGGCCACAGCTAGATTTTATTTTAAGAATAAACTTTTCTGATCTTTAGCTTACTTTCTGCTTCTTATAGTTGTGTTACGTCTCCGTTCATTAGTTAATTTTCCGTAAAAATTCTTACCGAAGAAACTTTATCGATACAAGTCCTTTCGAGCCC